GTTGCCTGTGGCCTGGGAAAATGCACCTTGTGTTTTGGTTCAGATGGATGCTCACTACAATCTCTCCACCTTTCCTGGTTCTCACGGAGAGGAAACTAAACTTAGCAATCCAGTTCTGTGGGAAGGAACCAGGGCAAGGAGTGGAGGATAAACTAAAGGACAAAGGTCAACTTTAGAAAGCTGTTCTACCAGATCTTGCTCAGAAAGCTATTCAGGTATACAGAGACGGAGAAGAAAAGGAGATAGGTGGGATTAGCAGAATGAAAAACTTTAAAAGCCTAATGATAAAAAAAAATCTAGGGGGCCAAGAGAAGGAAGAATAAAGCAAGAATCCCTGTAGTGTTTTTTTTTTTTTTTAAGCATAAGTCAGGATTCATCTCCCATTCCCCTTGTCTGATTCCTATTTAAAAATTTAAAGAATAAAATGCAATTTGGAGATGATCCCCTGTGTAATGTTTTTGAAGATTTTGCTTCCCTTTTAACCTCCCATTCCCCCTTATTAGGACGTGTGTCCTAAACAAATAACTAAGTAAAAAGAAATATATCTCTGTTCACTTTGACATGGAATAAAGCTATAAAGCCAATCCATTAAATTACTTTTCTTTTTAAAATGTCTTGTTTTGAGAAAGGAGATAGTTTGGTCACAGGAAGAAATTCTAGTCCATGATTCTTTGAAAAAGGAGAATATAAGAATTCTTTCCCTTATTCAGTCTTCTACCACCTACAGGGGGTCCAGTTCTTAAAGAGTACTTTACAAAAGAAGATTGCGATTTCAAAGCAAAATGGATTTGAAAAAAATATACCTTGATGTTCAGAATGTAATGTGGAAAGGCAAAAAGAATGTTTCCCAACCTGAAAGCACACTTCACTGAGAGGCTTACCTTTTAATTGCCCAGTTTATGGCAAATGTGAGCTGCATTTTATGAAACCAAAGTGTGAAACTCCTTTCATGTCCTGTTGTCAGGTATTCCTGACAGCATACATCTGAATTTTAAGGGCTGTAATGGTTGGACATCAGTTGTAAAAGTTTTCTCTTACGTCTTTAACAAACTTTTAAAAGAGACCTTATTATCAACCTGGACAATTCTAAAGATTGTATGGAGTTGATGGATATATATTTTATCTTAAACTACTTGGTGGTTGTTGGAGAATGCACATTATATTGTACATTCAAATTGGAATTTTGTCATTTTCTTTTTTTATTTAGCTCTAAAAACACTTTCTTCCTATGTTCAAGCTCTAATATATATTTATGTATTCATACATAAATGTTGATATATATTTGTACACACACATGTGAGCTTAAAATAAGTATTTTACTGATGCTTCTTGAAATGACAGTATTTTAAGAAGGAAATATGTTCATGTAAGTTCACATAAAATCTAAAGTTCTTTTTTTGGTTCAGTGTTTAGAAAATTCTTGATAATTTAGAATCTTCCACAATGGAAAGTAAAGCATTCTGTCACAAAAGCAGGGAGGATGAGACACGAGGTCAAAGGGCATTTTAGAAACAAACAGCTGGGCCAGTTTATTTAAACAGATACAGGGATGGGGGAACTGACCTCTGTTTGACTTATAGTGGGAGGAGCAAGAATGTCATTTTATTACTTTGCCCAGAAGGAAAATGTTTTTGTATCTGAATTCACCCCGAAGCCATCTAAACACATGGCTTTGCTGTACGTAGCATACTTCCAAAGAGAGTACATATAAGATAGTCTATGATAATGATAAAATACACTAAAGAGAGACAAATGTTCAGATGGTTTTAAGATCAAAGAGATCATGCTTTAAAAAATAAAATATTTGGCTATTAGTTATTTTTAGGTAAAGATATCTGTCATGACTCCAGATAATAGTGTATTTCATATAAGTATAGGAATTATAATCTGGTAACATTCTGAGAGTTTATGATGTCCTGTATGAGCTGATAAGTTTTCAAAGATGAGAAGTTCCAAGTATGTAGTTTAGACAAAGTGATTAGGTGTTCTTGGGTTTTCAATGTTTTATTATTTTTATTTTATTTAATGAAATATCTTCATATCTACATATCCTAATGGTAGCCTACATCGGTGCTGTCAGTAATAACAACTGGTTATTGCCACCAAAAGAAAAGCAACAGTACCTAATACCTGCTGGGGGCCCTTAGTTGAGAGGCTGTGGTGAGGTGTTTACTTGCTACCTGGGGACCAGAGCAGGGCTAGAGTAACAGCATTTAGTGTTGTCCACTGATGACCTTCAGAGGCACACAGACAAACCTCAGCGTAGTGAGCAGAGCGTGGCCCAAATGATGAATGGACTCAACATCCTAGAGCAACTCACATCCTAGAATGGCATTGTTTAGAATCACAGAGGTGTAACCTAGGGAGAAGAGGGGAGAAGCCAATGGAGCATGATGGCTATGGTTTAAATATTTGAAAGCAATCCTGAAGAAGTAATATTTAAATTGTTTAAATTACCCCAAGAAGTTGTCCTGGTGAAAGCACTTTAGATCCAGTGAGGCAGAAGCTGCTGACAGCTGCCTGGTCTGTAGAATGAGTGGGCTCTGAGGTAAGGTGGCAAGTATTGTATTAGAAACAGCCCAGCAGAGGTTACCCCTCTTGATACCCATTACATGGGGATATCAGAGAGTGAAAGCAAGTCAGTGATCTAGCTAGGTGACCATTAAAGCCCCTTCCAAAACTGAGGTGTGATTTTTCTATCATTCCTTGCGTTTAACAGTCATGGATTCAAACTTGAGTTGATTAACATGAATTGGTCTTTGGGAATCTGAATATACAGCTGTGAAAGAGGCAAGCTATGGAATATAGATAACTCAAGCCACCAAATCTTATTCATAGTTTTATCTCTGTCTGTATACACTAGCAATACAGTCATCAAAATCCCCAATCTACAAAACGTTCCGTCATGCTTATTGTTGGAATCAACGATAGAGTTGTTGCCAGTGTCGATTGGCTCAAAACCAGCTCATTTAAAAATATCTATGTACTTCAGAATATTCTAGATGGGTGGCACAGTAGTGGCCATGCTCTGCTTAGGACATTAGAGAGGGGGGTACTTGATACTATTCGCCAGCTGTCTGTCACTCAGCAAATTATTAACATCTCTTGGGTAACATGTGACCTCAAATAAGTCACTTAATTTATCAGAGCTGTGGCTTCTCGTTTGTTAAAAAGTGCTCTTCCTATTTTTAGATAAATAGTAGAAATCATATCCACAAAATATTATGTTTTTAAAAGGACTTTTAAAAAAGTTACCAGATGAGTTCCTTCACCCTAAGAGCCTGCAGACTATGAACAGTAGCAGTAGATAAAGAGTTGATTTTTGGTCTCTTTACCTAGATTAGTTACTATGAAAATTACTTTTGGTATATGCAGAAAATTAATATTAAATAATTTTCTAATTGGTCATGCAGTGAAGGCAGATAATGAAAAGGCAGAATTTTTTTTCATTTTAATTGGTTATTTCACATGGTGTTTGTGCTACACCTGTGCTTATAATGAGAATGGAGAATTAATCTAACCTTCTGCTCACATGATTCCAATTTTCATGGTTTATACAAGATAATGATAACCTGATTTACAACACAATTTGTTTTAGATCTGTGCTTTAAATATTTTTATTAGCAGTTCAGGGACTTCATATACAAGAACTGATATAATAAGTGTTGCCAATAAGAGTTAGCACTAACAGTGTCCTTTTAGTTAGATTCCACTGTCATTATTTATTTTAATTACTTCTCAGATAATGGAAAGACATAGGAATGTAAGATATTGAGAATCTTCAAATGTCATGGAGTTTTCATTTTTATTTTAAAAACCTGTCCCTGTCTGTTTAATGGCTTGTTTTGGGGGAATTATTTTCCTACCTGAAGAGGGGAGACTTACAAACTAGAATTCATACTGGACTGTGGATCCTTTAATTATTAATAGTGAATAATCAAACTTTTTACTGTATTTTTATGTGTGGCTCATGTTCAATATATTCAAATCTGAATTGAATTGAGAACTAAAAGCACTTTACTATTTCAGAATCTACTATGTCCTGTTCATTTCCTGTATTTGATATGTAAGTCTTAGTATTAGGCAGTACATACGGATCTTAAGAGTTAGAAATTTCATGAGCATGACTTTGGAGAGCTTGTATTAACCACTTTTTTATTTTTCCAGTGGCTAATCACTTTTGTATGGGCAACAAAAGTTGTATAAAGTAAATCTTATTAAGACACTTAAGTGACTTAAATATCTTATTAAGAGGTGTATTATAAATTTTCAGGTTTAGCTGGAGAAAACAAGATTATAAGTTCAATTACTGTATAGCTGTGACCTCGCCTTGACCTCAGACTTTACATAAAGAGCAAAAAAAAAAAAAAAAAAAAAAAAAGCCACCCCAAGAAATCTCTAAAAGGAATGCGTTTCTCTGAAGTCCCCAGCAGTGTGAGTTAGTGGTGATAAACTCCAGACATTCCCTCATTTGATGGTGTGCTGCCTTCCCAGTTCATTATCTTAATAGTGGGCATTAAAATAGAATTAGGTTTGCAAGAGGTAGGGAAGGTTTCGATAAAAATTGTAGAAAAGAAGTCGGAGAACGTAAGAATGAAATGTCACTAATTAGAAGAGGTAACGGATGCCCTTATGGACATCTCGCGCTCCCCACCCAATATCCCCCCCTTGCAATTGAAAAGAGTGGTGGCTGGTATTGTTTCCTGAAAATTCTGCTAATTCCCCCATGAAAAGATGAAATGGAAGTGTCCAACTGTGGTAAAACAGGCAAACATAAATCAACTCAGAAACCCCAAGCCTGTGTACTCAGAGGTCACTGGGGGTTGCAGGTTTTGCAGCATTTGAAACTGCACAGTGAGCAGGGGAGAGCCACTCTCTCCGCCAAGATCTAGCTCTGCTCTTACTGTGATCCATCTTCTCTTCCTCCACCTCCCCGCATCGCTTTTTGGGTTTTGTTTTGTTTTAAGGAATAATGATCTGCTCTGCTTTCTTGGTTACAGGTTTATTAATGCCCGGAGAAGAATAGTGCAGCCCATGATAGACCAGTCCAACCGAGCAGGCAAGTCCCCCATAGTGACTGTATTCAAGTCACGCAAGCGAAAGCCATCCTCAAGCCATTCACCGGGAGGTCCGATACCTGGTAAATAAACTGGGAGCGAGTGCTAGGAGCGCCTGGCAATGAAAATGAAACCGGTTTAGTTTCATAACAACACTAATCAATTTAACATCATTATAAAAACGTTTGGAGAAGGTGGAAAAAAAGAAAAGTAGCTCTTAAATCATTACAATGCTCAGTTACAATATTCTTTGTACACATTCAATATATTAATGTTATTTTTTTTTTCTGAGTTTGCCTTCCCAGCTCTTTCTGCTACTATGACCACTCCCTGGTGCATGGCTTGGTGTGGAATTGCTGTAAACTTTATTACCTGTCAAAAGGGCAAAGGGGTCAGGATCGCTTGTGGGACTCAGTAAAGTTCAAAGACATTCAATGAGGTAGAGCTTTTGTGTGCTTTAATAACCCAAGGCAGCTTACTTCTGAAGCAGCTTTTCATGTACAGTTAAAACATGGGATTCAGGTAGTGGTATATATACACAATTCCTTTTCTCAGGCCTTCTCCTGTTAATATTCATCTTCTGGTGTTCAACTTTTAAAAAAATAGCTTTTTGTGTTTTAATCAGAGCTTAAAATGGCAATACGTCTATGGGATCACAACTTGCAGATCTAAAAATCCAAGAAACATCTTTCTAGGATTTGTTTTTGTATTGTAATATACCAATGAGATTAACAACAGTATTTACTAAGGGCTGATGTGAATCTATACTTTCTTTACAAAACACTCTCTCATCTCATAGAGAGCACTATGAAAAACTGTGGTAAACACCACATGGAGTCACTACATATTTAGTCATATTCCCATAATTTTTTTTTCCCTTTCAACAACTATTGTGTGATCACCAGAAAAAAAACCCAAACATGAACGTTCTGTATCTTCACTATTCTTTGAACAGTGTTTTAAAACTTGGTCACAGGTATGTAGAGCTGAAATTTAACTTGGAGTGTTTTAAAATTTTATCTGCCTGGTATGTTCTCTTTGTCTCTCTCTCTCTTTGGCTATTCTGTCTTGGAGACTGTTATTAAGAACCTGTGTTCTGCACTTTTGTAGTAAGTCAAGGAACACCTTATAACCCCGATGGACAGCCAATGGGAGGTTTCGTAATGGACGGTCAGCAACACATGGGCATCAGGGCACCAGGTAAGACTGTTTTGTGGTTGCTTCTCATTTGTAACTCCAAGAGTGTCACCCCCCATCAGCCCAGGTAAAGTCACTTCATCCTTTGCTGTTATCTCAAGCTGCCTGCCTTGCCTGCCATCTGTGCATCTAAGATATTGCAGAGGGGAAGCCAGGATCTTTACGCACTGAAGATCTCACTGTTTCTCAACCCTCTGGAACCTGTTTTTTTTTTTAAGGGTCTTTTGGCACTATCTGTTGACTTTGCTCATTTTCTGGCCTCTTCTTGGATTTTTATCTCCCTTCTAGGACCTATGAGTGGAATGGGCATGAATATGGGCATGGAGGGGCAGTGGCACTACATGTAACCTTCATCTAGTTAACCAATCGCAAAGCCAGGGGGAAGTAAGTACAAATGGGGTCTTTGTTTTCACTTTGTCCTAGGAATATTTTTCCTCTTGCGTTTTCTTACGTTCTCCTTGCCCATAGCTTCATGCTTGTTCATTCCTTTCCATTAAACTCCTGGTTTCTTGCTTCCTTCATTTTCTCCTTGGTTGCGATCAAGCTTTTAAGCTTATAAATGCTGTGTATGATGTACATTTATCCTGTGTGTTGCTATTATACAGTACTGACCACATGACAAAATGAGAAACAGTCAGGAGGTGGGGGAGTGGGTTGTCATAGCAACAGACTGATTTGCAAAATGTAAGCAGTCTGCAGCAGTGCAAGGAGAGGAAAGAGCATGTCCCCAAAGTGTCATAAATCTGTCTAACCGCGGTTGATGCATGAGTTACATTTCTACACTAACCTGCAAGACACTGCAAAGCCAAACAGAGACTTCTTTTAGGGACATAAACACTAGCTTTCCTTAGGGTAAGTAAAGGCATATTTTGAGCTTCAGTCAACTAAACTTTGATTTTTTTTTTCTTAGTTTATTCCTTTGTCTGTCCATCATAATGGGATTACGTGTGGCAATGGAAAAAGGGAGAATACAAAATAGAGGTGTGCACAGCAGGCTGCAGGGCTTAGCCCAGGCTAATTGACTATATCCAAATTAAGTATGCCATCACTTGCAGTGTGACAAATGGATTTGACTTATTCAGTATACAAAAATAGAGATCATTAATGCAATCTTCAGTGGCAGGCCTAGTGAAGTGGGCCTAGGAAAACTGTCCCAGATTCTTGCTCTTGCATTTTCTCCCCGAAAAAGACACTCCAGCAATTCATGTTCAAACAAGTAAGACTGTTTTGAACACCAAAGCTCTTGTGCACTTCCTAAATTACCCCTAATAGCATTGCTCTAGTTTTGTTTCCGAAATTAAAAGCAGTTAAAGTCCAAGTCTTGGTTGTATCTCTGATTATATTAACACACTATTTAAAAGCACTGCTGAGGCCAAGGATAATTCGTATTGGTCTTCCTCTCCGGGTGTGAGTCAAATGTAAGTTTAACAATTAGCTCCCGAAAACATTCCATTGAGCTCGGGAATGCAACAGTCTTATTACCTCATCATGGAATTCTCTGGCTTAGTTAATTTAAATATTGTTTCTTAGTTTCTGGGTCAATTAAATTTAAATGATGTATTTTATGCTTCGTGACCAATTAAATTAATAGGTTATTACAAAAAATATTATCATCTTTTTTGATTAAAGAGCTGTGGGTACAGTATATTTTATAAGCAATTTTCATTAGTTCAAAAATGTTCCTTTAGGCTAGATTAAGCAGCCATTCATTGCTAGAGCCTGGAGACCTTATTCGAAGGTGTTCATCGCATTCACAGTGCACTATTACTTAGAACTAAAGCCAATTGAACCTACTTAGCAATAGTGTTATGCCTTTCACCCTTGATGATTATGGAGCTTATAGCTCTCAGAAACAATACACCTGTCAGTTTCCATCAACTATAGCAATCCATGCAGAAGACAAGAGGCCCCTCAAAGCAGGAAGGGTATTGTTTTAGGTCCAATTTTTCTTATTGTTCTCAAAATCATTGTAAGGTGGACAGGGTTTTGTGAAAGCTTTCTTTCCCCTAGCTCCAAGAAACCATGAGGAAAGAATTCATTGATAACTGTTATTGTTTTGTTTTGTTTCCATTTCTAAAAGTACAGGTTTAGCCAAGTAATCAGCCTTAATGAGAGCCTGTCTAGTTAGAGTCTGTCCAGTTAGTTGCCTGCGAGATGTTTCATGACCAGTGTGGGGTCCTCTTGTATTCTTGGTAGAGAATGTTTTCAGGGAACAAAAGTGCTTCTTCAGACCAGACCTCAAATAACAGTTTTATTTTTTTAAAATAAATAAGACCTCAGTAGGTTGACCTGATAACAGTGACAATTAAAGGAAAATAGTCGGGAAAAAAATGTGAGTTTCCAGCAAAACATCTCTCATTTTATTTTCTTCTGTATGAATCAAAAGGATACTTTACGGAGCCATGTTCCCTTAATCACAATGTCCCCTGGTTTTTGTAGGATTGCCATAGCCAGAACCACACTATTGCTTTTTCATAATATTTTCTTTTTGTTTTTTTTCTTTTGAATTTCTACAGGGCTGCAAAGTATGCCAGGGGAATATGTAGCCCGGGGTGGTCCAATGGGTGTGAGTATGGGACAGCCAAGTTATACCCAACCCCAGATGCCCCCCCATCCTGCTCAGCTGCGTCATGGGCCCCCCATGCATACGTACATTCCTGGACACCCTCACCACCCAACAGTGATGATGCATGGAGGACCGCCCCACCCTGGAATGTCAATGTCAGCATCAAGCCCCACGGTTCTTAATACAGGAGACCCAACAATGAGTGGACAAGTCATGGACATTCATGCTCAGTAGCTTAAGGGAATATGCATTGTCTGCAATGGTGACTGATTTCAAATCATGTTTTTTTCTGCAATGACTGTGGAGTTCCATTCTTGGCATCTACTTTGGACCAAGGAGCATCCCTAATTCTTCATAGGGACTCTTAAAAAGCAGGAAATACCAACCGAAGTCAATTTGGGGGACATGCTAAATAACTATATAAGACATTAAGAGAACAAAGAGTGAAATATTGTAAATGCTATTATACTGTTATCCATATTACGTTGTTTCTTATAGATTTTTTAAGAAAAATGTGAAATTTTTCCACACTATGTGTGTTGTTTCCATAGCTCTTCACTTCCTCCAGAAGCCTCCTTACATTAAAAAGCCTTACAGTTATCCTGCAAGGGACAGGAAGGTCTGATTTGCAGGATTTTTAGAGCATTAAAATCACTATCAGGCAGAAGAATCTTTCTTCTTGCCTAGGATTTCAGCCATGCGCGTTTCTCTCTCTCTCTCTCTCTCTCTCTCTCTCTCTCTCTCTCTCTCTCTCTCTCTCTCTCTCTCCCCTCTCCCTCTCCCTCTCCCTCTCCCTCTCTCTCCTTCTCTCTAGCCTGGGGCTTGAATTTGCATGTCTAATTCATTTACTCACCATATTTGAATTGGCCTGAACAGATGTAAATCGGAAAGGATGGGAAAAACTGCAGTCATCAACAATGATTAATCAGCTGTTGCAGGCAGTGTCTTAAGGAGACTGGTAGGAGGAGGCATGGAAACCGAAAGGCCGTGTGTTTAGAAGCCTAATTGTCACATCAAGCATCATTGTCCCCATGCAACAACCACCACCTTATACATCACTTCCTGTTTTATGCAGCTCAAAAACATAGACTGAAGATTTATTTTTAATATGTTGACTTTATTTCTGAGCAAAGCATCGGTCATGTGTGTATTTTTCCATAGTCCCACCTTGGAGCATTTATGTAGACATTGTAAATAAATTTTGTGCAAAAAGGACTGGAAAAATGAACTGTATTATTGCAATTTTTTTTGTAAAAGTAGCAGTTTGGTATGAGTTGGCATGCATACAAGATTTACTAAGTGGGATAAGCTAATTATACTTTTTGTTGTGGATAAACAAATGCTTGTTGATAGCTTTTTTCTATCAAGAAACCAAGGAGCTAATTATTAATAACAATCATTGCACACTGAGTCTTAGCGTTTCTGACGGAAACAGTTTGGATTGTATAATAACGCCAAGCCCAGTTGTAGTCGTTTGAGTGCAGTAATGAAATCTGAATCTAAAATAAAAACAAGATTATTTTTGTCATGCTGACTCCACTGCTTGAAAAATGTGTTTACTGCCCCCCCAAAAAAATTTTTTGATGATCAATGCAGTAAATATAAAAATTAATTTTGGCTCCCTAAGATATATACGTATTTGAAAAATTTTAACTACAAAGTAAATTATTTAATAATAGTTACTGATTTCTTTAAGCTGACTTAATGAACTCCTAATATCAGCAAATTTAAGGCCTAAGGGCACTAACCTAACCGTAGACTCAGAGTACAAGCAACAGAATTACTCATCTAATATCAGTGAAATTATTCTTGCACATAATGGCAAACCAAGTACAGAGTTAAGTCTTTTACTAAGGATGTTACCTAGGATGAGCAGTAGATGTTTATTAGGAAATTAACGATGTGAATTGAAGAGGCCAGACTTCAAAATCTAATTTTTATAAATATGCTCTATGTTCTCATTGGATAAAACTGGTTATTAACTAATTTTCCAGAACAGCTGTACAGAATTTCTGCATGGCAGCCAGCTAAATGGTACAAAATAACATGTTTAAGCTGGAATAGCTTATAATTTTATTTAAATAAAATTGCTGCTATAAAAGTGCTTCCCAAAGCTAAGGAAAATGCACAAATATTTTAATTAAGGCAAATTCGTTTTTAAAAATCAGCCTTTAAGCAGTGATTGCTTTGTAAACAAAGGATGGGTTGGAGGAGAGCGCCTTAAACTCCAGTCTGACATTCAGGCCCGTGCCACTCTATAAACCCGCCCTGAACAATTCTATTTTCTATTTGAAAAGGGAAACCAGCTGTGGGTTGGCTTTACTAGGTGACGTGTGATTGACTGACTCACCTGCGGGAGCAGCAGTGCGCACTCTCACCTTTTGTTTATGGGGCCTTGTGTCTAAACACGTGGACGCGAGGATGGAGAGTCTGACTCAGCCTTCACAGCGCCCCCCCCCCCCCCCCCCGCCTCCTCCCCGCGCAGCGCCCTCCACTCCACCCCGCCCCCACCCCATATATGGAATTGTTTAAATTTCCCCTTTGGGCCCGGTGGCAATTCTTCTACATAAATAGTCCATATTAGTGAAATACTTCTCTTTTGATAGGTGGTTACTAGCCGTTAACAACCATTTATTTACTTTAAAAATTAATAACAAACTTTATAAACTAACCATCCATGGGCCCCTCCTCCCCAGTACATGCCTGGGTAAGTTGGTTATTTTCTGCCTTTATTCTGGAGGAAGCTCTTGCCGGGTGGGGGAGGGAAAGGAACGGGAGGAGGGAGGGAGGGAGGAAGGGCAGAAGGGAGAGAGAGAGAGAGAGAGAGAGAGAGAGAGAGAGAGAGAGAGAGAGAGAGAATGCGCGCAGAAGGTACACGTGAAGAGGAATTAGGGAATATGGAGGCTATGAAAATCAAGATCATTATTGTCCAGTGAATTAGAAAAAAAATAAAACCAAACTGTGTTCTTTCCCTGCGTTGCCCCCTCCGTGTGATGGTTTTGTGATGGTCTTGCTCTCTGTGGGCCCCTTTTCCCTGCATCGACACCCCCCTCCCCCTTATTGCTATTTCAGCTCTTCCTCTTGTAAATTTCAGAGCCAGCTCTGAGGTGGTGGAGGACACTTATTCGAAAGAGCGAAATAATAGAGGCGCTGAGAGTATTTTTGCTGTTTCTTAAAAGGGAAAAACAAAACGCCCTCTTCTAAACAAGGGCACACAACTGTACCTGCTTTTTATTTTTATTTTGGGGGGGGGAGGGGCACTGGCTGAACAAGACTACTTTTTAGTGTGATTTAAATATTTTGCGAAAAATCAAAAATATTTTACCCTATCATATTTAATCAGTTGTAATTATAACACATTCGAAATGAATAATATGTCTTGACAGTATTTTTATTGTTATTGTTCCTCGCATGATGTTCGACTGCTTTAGAAGCACAGGAAAGAGAAGTAAACGCGCTACAAATGGGGAATTGCCCTCGTTTAGCATTAAAATTCATTTAGATAAAATTGCCACAAACATTTAAATGGGAAGATTAGTTCCCCCTCACGCCTTATTGCACTCGCTCAATGGTTCCGTTAAGAACATTTTACACGTTGGAAATTCCGTCTTCTCAGACGGCTTGCTGTTTCCTAGTTACCCACATTCAAAGCAAAGGCAGCAGCAAAGGCAGCCGCAGCAGCAGCAGCAGCAGCAGCAGCAGGAGAAAAAAAAAAGTTTTGGCAACTGGTCTGCAATTCATCCGCTGCCGGCCCCAGCCCCCCCCTGGCCCACAGAAGTCCTCCCCCACCCATCACCTTTCCCCACTCCTACCTCTTCTCCTCCCCCCTGCCCCCCCCCCCATTATGTAATTTGCAGAGTCCTGTCTTGGAAGAAACACGTTGCTTCGTTGTTTGGTATTTGTATATAATGTTAAATCATCTGTATAAAATGCAAAGGAATATAAAAACGCCAGCCTGTCTCTCTCCCGGTCTCCCCTCTCCCTCTTCTGTTCTGAACTGAAGGTTTCGTTTGAAAGTGCTGAGTTGCTCCCATCTCCTACACCGAGCCCACAGGCACGTTTTCTTGGCTTTCTTTTCTGCCAGGACATTTCCAGGAAATTCACCACTGCTTCTTGCTTGTATTAGAAACGTGTGAAAGAATTAGTTTGAAAAGTCCATGCAACGTCTAGTTTCTCCCTCTGTTCTTTCTCCCTCCCTCCCTCCCTCCCTCCCTCCTCCCTCCCTCTCCCTCCTCTCTCTTTCTCCCCCCCCCCCGCTTCCTCCCCCTCCCCTAGCAGGGCCGCAGGAAAAGAAGAATATCGGCTTCGACTGCCATCTTTTGGGGATTTGGAAAAACGACTCGGTAGGAAGCGGAGGGAGGCGGAGGAGCAGAGGGTGGGAGGGAAACCCCCTTATTATCCTGTGTCGGTACTGGCTCCCTTAATCTGATGCTTAAATATTTGATGTGGAAAAATTACCCATAAAATTAGTTACTAACAATTTCAAATTGAAATCACTTATCGAATTATAAACGCATTAAAGCTGTATGGATGGTATTAGGAGTTCCTCGGGAGGCAGCGGTGTCTCCTTGCGGCGCGCCCCCGTCGGCGAGTTTCGCCCCGGGGAGAGGCGCTCCCGCGGAGCCCGGGGACGGGTGGGCAGGGCGGATCGAGCGCCCCGGTCCCCACCGGACGCCGAGCTGGCAGCCGGGCCCGACTCGGTCCCGGTTCGCTGGGCTTGCGGGGGGAGAAGAGGGAGGGGAAGGAGCGGCGAGGGGAGGCTCGAACCTGGGGGCAGAGGCGCCTACCCGGAAACTTTGCAGTGAAGTCGAGAGATTCGGAAAAGGAAAAACAGCCCTATCCGCCCCCTCCTGACAGCGTCTCCCGCGAGGCGCGCAGACTTTGCGCTCAGCATTGGCTGCTGTGTGCAGCGCCCCCTCCCCCACCCCCAGACGGCGAGGAGGGACGGGGGGGTGGGAGGGGTGGGCAGATGCCGGTGGCCCCAGGCTAGGCTGGGCTCCGCGCCCCGAGAGAAAATCACGCAGGCCGTGGCGACAGCTGCGTGGCGTCCTGGCCAGGACACGGCTGCCCTGGCCTCCTGTGATGCACCAAATCCTGGCCTGCGCCCCGCTGCTTGGGCGCACAGGTCGCTGCCCAGGGCCCAGGGCGCCTGGCGGGGCGGCTGCGGCACTTCCAGGAGCCTCCTCCTTCCTCCTCCTTCCTCCTCCTCCTCCCTCCCTACACGACCTGAACGTCCGGTGGAAGGGGGCTGCTGATTCTCTGGAGAGAAGGCGACCTTGGCAAGGCACCTACTAGAGGGACGATGGGCCCCCTTCCCTCAGAGCCGCTTGGGGGTGCTTTGTAACGGACTAGAGGCCCTTGCCGAGCTCTGCTCCAGGATCCCGCAGGAGCTCTGGGGGCGAGACTCTGAGAGCGTGGGGCCCCGAGGGCACTTGGGACCTGGGCAGCGTCCACCTCGGAGCCCCAGCAGGGGAGCCGTGGACAGCGCCTCCAGGCCTCAGGCAGGCGCTCCTGGGAATCAGAAAAACCGCCGCAAACTTTCCCCTGCCTTTCGGATCCCAGCAGGCCCTCGGCCCCAGCGAAGGCAAGAGAAACGTGACTTGGTGCAAAGCTCCAGCGCAGGCGCTTGGACACCGGGTGGAGCGGCGTGGAATTGGGTAGTGGGGCGCCCTGTCTGGCCGGGTATTTCCTCTGGTCTTAACTCCCTTCTCCCTTGCCCCCCCCCCCCCACACACACACACAGGGCTGTTAGGAGGGCTGGCAGCACTCAGGGTGGCCAGGTGCGGAGTCCACGTGCGGCTGGCCATCCCAGGGCCCGGGCAAGGGTGGTGAGGGAGGGACAGTGGGGAGTCGCCCCTGGAAGGTGGCGACTGGTGGCTGAGAGCGGGTGCGGGTTCCCTTTTTGGCCCGATCTGCCCGCCAGCACGTCAGTAACATCCCCTCCCAAGGCGGAGCTGAAGGAAACACAAACAATATACTGAGCCACCACTTCCCCGACGTTAGAGCGTGAAAGAGTCTTTGCTCTAAAAGGGGTACAACTGGGGTCTCGGTGGGGACAGGAGGGGCATTCTAGGGTCTTGGATCTGGTGGGGCCCCGGGCAGGGGTCGTCCCTGCCCGCGCTGCCTCCTGCCCGCGCGAGCTCAGCCCTCCGCCGGGAAAGGCGGGCGGAGGAGCCCAGGAGAAAAGGGATTTAGTTTTAAGCCAGTCTCCC